GACGTTGGTCATGCTCCATGGTATGCCCTGACTCTAAATTTTTGCGTTATCGGGTGCAGAGGGGCTCTCGTCACAGGCCCAACCCACCCTGCCGCAAAACTGTGTGACGCATTTGACTAGCGCAAATACACTGTCAAATGGCAGTTGCGTGCACCACTATGCTACCTAGGTGTGGGGGTGAGCGTGCTACAGCCAGGCTTGAGAGTGGCCACTATCAGTGACATTCTCAGCCTTTACATGCAAGCTGTAACGCACGTAACTAAGAGGCTCATCAAGGCAGCGCGTAACGCATGTGAGTGGTCAGAATTGCGCATGCAAGCCAGCCACGTCCATGCAAGTGTAACCACTTTCTGTTGTACGATGACCCCGGTCGCCATGCAGGACTTGGGGGGAAGGATGCAGAGAAGGTTGTGGATTTGCATCTGAAGGCAGCTGCAAGATTTTTTTGGGCACGCATGGGGAGTGATGCCAACCCCGGTGGAAGATTTGCTACATCGGGGTGATAGGGAGTTAGTGGGGGTGAACTACGCATCCCCCAAGTGGGAGGAGGGTACAAAGGGAGTCCTACGAAGGGTCAAGGGGAACAGTTGGGGTGGTACACGGAAGGGTCAGAAATGGCAAGTTTGGCCCACTGAAGGTATGTGGCCGCAATGCACAAATCTCAAAAAATTGAACGTTTGTGATAAGTTGGGCATTGATTGATATGATCTACTATGACCTTGTTACTAACCATGTGAAACACTGGGCTTGTTTGCAGAGATGCCCAATGGGAGGCTACAAACCACCACTACTACTGAGGTTGCGCCACTTCCTGAATTGCCCGACTCTGTGCACGTGAGCGACACACTTAGGTGTCGCGCTCATGAAGCGGGAGAAGGGGGAAATGAATCACTCGATGTGGGGGGGGGGGGGGTTGTTTGCGAGGCAACTGAAATGGATGTAGATGTGGATGCACCAGCTTCAGCAAGGGGGGTCAAGGGGGTGCCAGTTCTACAGGGGCGGCGGATCAGATCCGATATGTGTGAGACAATCGGGGACAGTAGTAGACTAGCTGTAGTAAGAGGTGGCATGGTGGGATCGGGTGGGGCAAGGGTGGTTGGATTAGGACCATTTGCCGTTAGGGGAAGAGGGGGGTTGGTAGCTACCACCCAGATGGGCCCCCAGAGAATGCACACCGTCGGAGCCGTTGGAGTGGATCAACTAGCAGAGAGGGGGGAAGGGTCCTCGAGGGTAAGGGAAAGGGTGGTCGAGGAAGGAAGGGGGATGTCTGGGTCAAGAGGGTTGGGACGTGGGCCAGCAGGTTCAAGGGGGGAAGGGGTCGAGATTGATACGGAGAACGGCGAGGGAAGGGGCGCACCAGCGAGAGGGGGCGGTGCTGAGGAATTTGCTGATACCACGAAGGGGAGATGTGATGGGCATGCAGTGGGTGGGTGCGCCGCAGATGAGGTGCCAGTCAGGTATTGCATAGCAATGGTGCATGTCGTTGTAACCACCCCTAGAAACACATTGATTATAAAGGCATTTCGACGTATTGATGCACCCAAGTAGATGGAGGCAAACGCACTTTGGCTCGTGCAACCCCATCCCTTCTCAACCCTCCTACGCTCCCCCCCGCCCCCCACCCCCCCCCCCCCCCCTCCACCCCCGCTCCCCACCCACCGCTCCCGACCCCTCGCTCCCCCCTACTTCCTGCAATCGTCTGCCCCCAATACCAGGGCAACCTCAAATGTGCAAACGCGCCGACGCCGTTGGCCGACCGGATGGAAGGCGGATCCAAATTGGGACGACTTCCTGACCGACATGGTCTGCTTTTTGGACCCACGTGTTATTGTGTCATTCTTTTGTGGGCGTGCTTTGGGGACGTGCGAGAAGCCCAACTATAAGGGAAGTATGCAGCTGGGGTCTTGGAAGCGGTCGTGGGCATGTTTAGGACTGTTGTGGCTATATGACGCTTGCTATGCAAAGGAGGAGATTTGGTCCACTAGTCGTGTCAGGGATGATCTCCCGTCAAACAAGCGTGGTCCATGTAGCCCGAAGATGTTGTCGAAGCTCGTGGGTGCATTTGCTCTTGCCGGTCTAGGTTTGCAACAAACATGGGAGATGTGTCGAAACCTTGGTGTACCACGTCCCGGGCATGGAACATTCTACCGATTTATGGGGGGGGATAATGGTTTGTGGGCAATAATAGTGGAGCAGGCCAAGAAAAACATGGAGATGGTGCGTGCGAGCATGTTGTCGCGTCCAATCCATTGCGAGTGGCTATGTGTCGGTGGTAGGTGGTCACGGGTGCGTGAGGTGAAGTGGTGTACTGTTTCCTGGATGGACAGATAGACCCGTAAAATTGTCTTGGTAAAAAATACGAAGCGGGGGAGGGACGACGATTCATTGGTGGGGCTTGAGCGGGTTGCATTCCACCAGGACATGGATGAGTTAGAGGGAAGTGGATTTCATGTCGAAGGCATCATTACCGATGAGGGTGCTAGTTTCAAGAGTGCGGCAAGAGACAGAGGGTTGAGGCATCAGATGGATGGGTGACACAAGTGTGGCACAGAGGTGGGTAGCTTCAAAAAGATGTGCAGGACAAGTTGCGGATGGTGGGTACAGTCGATGGGGTGTCTGCATGTGAGGACCTATGTCACAGGATCGAATGACTCGAGGAAAGGTTGCACTCTCGATCAGTACAAGGCGCTTTTATACTTTCAGAGTACATCAGGTAACCAGGTTTATCTTATCCCAAGGGAATAGACCCTTCTAGAATATAGAATCACCCTGCGTATAGCCACGCGAGGCTATTGGCTTTAAGGGATTACGGCAGGATTACGCTAGATATAGCGCCCCAGTACATCCCAATCCTGGTCGGTGATATAATTATAATAGCAGGATAAACCAAAGGTTAATGGGAGATGGATAATAGGAAATCAAATGAGATGGGATAAAAAGAGAAATGAAAGAAGAAGGAAATAAGAAAAGGAACAAGTGGTGTAACGGGATTGTGCTCTCACACTTCCCCCCCTCCAAGCTGGGTGGTAGAAGTAACACCCTGCTTCACAAGGTAGTCATGCAGAGGACGACGGGCATTACCCATGTCGGTCTCAGGTTCCCCGCTGTCCTCAGAAGGATCATAACCCTTCCAACGGATGAGAAGCTCCACGGTGCCATTCTGACGACGGCGGTATGCAAGCACGGACTCGACCTCGTACTCGGGTTCATTGTGGACGAGGACGGGCGGCGGCGGTGGCGGTTGGCGTCCAACAAAGATCGTGTTCGGATCCCGGTAGGGCTTCAGAAGTTGGACATGGAAGGCGTTGTGAATCTTCCAGGTAGCTGGCAGGCGTAAGCGGAAGGTAACAGGAGTGACCTGTGCTTCAACGAGAAAAGGCCCGCAGAAGCGAGGTCGAAGTTTAGATGGGAGGTGGCTGATGTCCAGGTTGCGGGTGTCAAGAAGCACCTGGTCTCCCACGGTAATGGTGTGGTCGTTGCGATGGCGATCGGCCTGGCGCTTCTGTTGCTGTTGAATGTCGAGGAGGTGCTTGTGGGTCCGATCCCAAAGCTGATGCATGGTTGTGATGAAATCATGTGCAGGTTGGACTGTTGCTGATGTGGTCGGTTTTTGTGGTGTGAGCGGGTGGCGTCCGTAGCAAAGGAAGAACGGTGTCTGTCCCGTAGCGGCATGTGTAGCATTGTTGTAAGCAAACTCTAGAACGGGCAGGTGCAAGTCCCATTTGGAGATCTCGTCCTTGCAGGCTGCTCGGAGGAGTTGCTCAACAATCAGGTTGAGGCGCTTGGTCTGTCCGTCTGTCTGCGGATGGTAAGCGGATGACATGGCGAGTTTGGTCCCGAGCAGAGACATTAGCTCCTTCCAGAATTTGCTGGTGAACTTGGGGTCTCGGTCGGAGATGAGTGTGGTTGGAATGCCATGCTGTGAGATGATGTATCGAACGAATAGTTGTGCTATCTCCTCGGTGCGTGCAGTCGTGTGTGTCGGGATGAAGTGTCCCATTTTGGAGAACTTGTCGATGAGCACAAGGATTGCGTCATGACCGCTGGTGGTAGGTGGTAACCCGGTGATGAAGTCCAGGCTAACCACTTGCCATGGCTGTTCTGGGACAGGAAGAGGCTGCAGTAGTCCTGCCTTTTTCTGCTTGCTGCTCTTCATCCGCTGACATGTATCACTCGAGGTGACAAACTTTTGATCATCCTCTGCCAAGTCGGGCCAGTAGTAGTGTTTCGCAATACCGGTGAGCGTCTTGTTGCTACCGAAGTGCCCGGCGTAGAGGACGTCGTGGTAGTCTTCGAGTAGTAACCGGCGCAAAGGAGGGTAATTGGGTACCCAGATTTTCGTTGATCCTTTCCGGTACGCGATGTCACTGTCCCACTGTAGCAGATGTCGCTTTTCTGCCAAGGGAATTTCTGGGTCGATGGTGTACCCGTGTATGAAGAGTCCCTTGAGAAGTGGATTCATCCCTTCAATCTGAATAGCGGCAACGTGTGTAGGCCGGCTGAGAGCGTCTGCTTTGTTTTTGTGGCCGGGCTTGTACACGATGTCGTAGTGGAAGTGTGTCTCGAGGAAGTCGATCCACCGGACTTGCCGCCTTGAAAGGTTGGGTTGTGTCTTCAAGTATTTCAGGCCGCTGTGGTCGGTGTAGACGGTTGTTCTTCGTCCTTCGAGATAACATCTCCATGCTTTGAAGGCGATGATGATAGCCAAGGCCTCCTTGTCGTGTATCGGATAGTTGAGTTCTGCCCCGTGCAGTTTCTTGCTGAGGTAGGCGATTGGTTGCAGTCCATCCCCCTGATATTGCATTAAGACTGCTCCCACTGCTTGGTCGCTGGCGTCAGCTTCGATGACGTAGTCGCGTTCAGGATCTGGCAAGATGAGTACTGGTGCGGGCGTAAGTGCTTGTTTCAGCTGCTCCACGGCTTCCTGGTGCTTTGGCTCCCATTTGTAGGGCGTGTTCTTCTTCAGCAGATTCGTGAGTGGTGCTGCGAGTTTCGCATACTGTGGCACGAACCTGTCGTAGTAATTAGCGAAGCCTAGGAACTGCTGCAACTCCTTCACGTTCTCGGGTGTCTTCCACGTACGTACGGCTTCGATTTTCTTGGGGATCGACGTGAACTCCTTGAGCGCTCACCAGGTGTCCTAGGAACTGGACCTTCTCAAGGGCGAATTTGCTCTTGGACACTTTGACGTAGAACCGTTCTCGTCGAAGAATTTCGAAGACGCGTCGCAGGTGTTCGACGTGTTGCTTCATGTCGCGTGAGTAGATGAGGATGTTGTCCAGGTACACCACCACACACTCGTCCAAAAGTGGTCGTGGAATGTGGTTCATTTCGGCTTGGAACGTTGCCAGTGCGTTGGTGAGTCCGAACGGCATTACCAAATACTCGTACGATCCATACCGAGTTCGGAAAGCAGTTTTATGGATAGAGTTGTCCGCCATCCTTATCTGCCAGTATCCGGACCGTAGATCCAGTTTGGAAAATACCGTAGCTCCCCGAAGCTGGTCAAGCAGGTCATCGATTCGTGGTATCGGGTATTTTTTCTTGATGGTCTGCTTGTTAAGAGCTCGGTAGTCGATGCACATGCGCAGGCTTCCGTTCGGTTTCGGTGTGAAGAGTACTGGGGCACCGTACAGTGAAGTGGATGGTCGGATGAGTCCTTTGGCTAGGAGATACTCGATCTGTTTTTTCATGTCGGCCAGCTCCGTAGGGTTGAGCCGATATGGTGCTCGGAAGGCCGGTTTCGAACCCGGTTCCTCCACGATCTCGTGTTGATGCGTTCGGTATGGCGGTAGCTCGTTCGGAAGATCGTCAGGAAGAATGTCTTGGAACTCCTTCAATAATTCCTTGATTTTTTCCGGAGGTTCCGAGGTCTTCTCTCCGTCGTTCTCCACCTCTGTTGCTATCGCCAGGAACCCGGTGTCGGTTCGCTTCACGTCCTTCTCGAATCGTGCGAGTGTCTCCACTGGGATATCTCCTGTATCGTCCTAGTTGGGTAGCTGTACTCTCCGTCCATTGTTCTAGATGCTTGCGGTGCGGTTCACCCACTTGATCTCGGGGTTGAATCTTTTTAGGAAGTCTCGCCCGAAGATCAAGTCAAGCCCTTTGATGTTGGTGATGGGGAGTGCAGGTCTCCAGCGCAGGGGTCCAATTTGTAGGTGGAGCACTGCTTCGCCGTGTACTGGTAACTTGCTTCCGTCCACCATCGTTGCAGAGAATCCTAAAGGCTTGTACTCTTCCCGAAGTCGGTCGATTACTGCCTTGTCACAGACGGTGTGTGATGCTCCGCTGTCCACGAGTGCTTGGAGGCGTTGTCCTTTGCAGATGACCTCAAGCACGAGGGACAGGCGTTGCTCGGAGTACCCAAAGATAGTTTCATTGATTGGGTCATAGGGTACATCCCAATATTCCGTACACACCTTTGTGTTGCTATCTACTCCTGAGCTGGTAGCTGGCCGCGGCTGCTTGGAGAATGACTCTTCTCCAGGGCCTGGAGTTTCCTTTACGATTGTGCGCATCGTTGATGCCGAAGAACTGGATGCATTCGGAGGAGGAGTTCGGAGTTTGTGCAGCTTTTTGTAGAGCCCCAGCTTCCTCTTGAGCTGCTTCAGCTCCACCGACGTCTTCCCTTGGGAGCGGATAGTCGTTGTGGGCTGGTGTCGGGAGAGTACGTTGACTCTGTGGAAAGGTCGGCTTCTTTCCACACTCCTTATTTTTTTCCCCAAGTTGTCCGGTACGAGTATAATCTCCACAGCTGTTTGCTTCTTTTGGAGTCCCTCCCGAAATTTCTCCAAGGCTCTAGCCCCTCGAAAATCATAAGTTTTCATTAAAGCATCTTTATAGGATAACTTTAACGAATCCTTATAATTTCTTAGGTCTTCAAGGAGTTTCCCCGTCTCGGCAGGGTCTTTTTTCGCGGAGTCGTAATTTTCCTCGGCGATTTTCCCTGGCGAAGACTGGTCGTGGGGTGGAGATTTTCCCCCATCATTTCCTCCTTCTCGCGTCGAATCAGCTTCGTCGAAGTTGATTTTCCCAGAATCCCGCGGCCATTTTCGGATCTTTTCTTTTTCGCGAGCTAGATCCGCGATCACTGGCGACTCCCGTTTTTTGTCTTCTGATTGGCCGAAGGATTTCTGCCACTGTTGCGTGCCCGATACTCTGCGCTTGCGGCTTTCATTTTGTTGCAGTCGAAGATTCGATGACCCGGCACCCCGCAAAAATCACACGTGTAGTTGGTGTTTTTCGGACGTGGCCGCCTGTCGAACCTGTCGACTTCCATCGGGTCGGCGAACGTGGGGTGAGCCGAGCGGTCGCCCTGTCGCGTACTGCCAACGTGCGTCCGTCGTGTTCTGGCGTTGACCATGTCGAAGCGCTCTGCTACCGAAACGACGTCACTGTAGCTCGCGTAGTTTGATGCTGCCACTTGTCGTTTGACTTCGGTCTTCAGCCCGGCGAGGTACGATTGTACTTTTTCCCCTTCGGTCAGGTCGGGAATGCGGTTATTAAACTCCTCCATCTGCTGCGTGTACTGCGCTACACTCCCGAACTGTCGATGGCGATGAATTTTTTCCCGGGCAAGGAAACTCAAATTTATCGGCTCGAATCGTTTCAGCAGGTCGGCGAGGAACTGCTGCCACGTGGCTTCACCGTGGATGAAGGTGCTGTTGTCGCCAATCCACTCGAGTGCCGGCCCTCGCATCAGTGTCGCCGCGAGTCGTACGCATTGTCCATCCCAGACCGGTGAGCTCCATCTGACGGCTGCGAAGTAGATCTCCATCCCGGCGATCCATTTGCGGGCGTCGGAGTTTCGATCGCTCGGATCGAACGGCTCAGGTGGGCGCGGTTTCGGAGCCTCGAGAAACTGCTGCGACTGCTGCGTCGTCGCCGTTGTCGAGTCGTGCTGCGCTCCGGCGAGTCGAGTTACTCGCTCGAACTCGTTTCGCCACGCTTCGCGATCCGCTCGCATTTCCTCCTGAAGGGCTGCGATGAGCGCGAAGAGCTGCTGGGTAACCTCAGCGTTGTCGAAGGTTGCCATCCTGTTCAAAACACGCACGGGGGGGGGGGGGAATTCGAAAATCGCGGAGCTGGTGCTTACCAGAATCGGTGTCGAATTGGTCGCCCCCGGCGGTTTTTCGAGGAAGGTTTTCAGCGCGGCCGAGTGAGAAAAGCTCTGATTACCAAGTGTCACAGGATCGAATGACTCGAGGAAAGGTTGCACTCTCGATCAGTACAAGGCGCTTTTATACTTCCAGAGTACATCAGGTAACCAGGTTTATCTTATCCTAATGGAATAGACCCTTCTAGAATATAGAATCACCCTGCGTATAGCCACGCGAGGCTAATGGCTTTAAGGGATTACGGCAGGATTACGCTAGATATAGCGCCCCAGTACATCCCAATCCTGGTCGGTGATGTAATTATAATAGCAGGATAAACCAAAGGTTAATGGGAAATGGAGAATAGGAAACCAAATGAGATGGGATAAAAAGAGAAATGAAAGAAGAAGGAAATAAGAAAAGGAACAAGTGGTGTAATGGGGTCGTGCTCTCACAACCTATATCTGATCACTGTAAATAGGCTCGTGTCGTGGTTGAGGCATTCTACAAATGGTGGTCGGATGTGCAGTCGTGCGACGGGAAAAAATGAGCTGGTGCGTGTAGTATGCGAGACACGTGGCCTGGTCTTCAAGGACATGGAGCTGGCCGACGCTAGGTATTTGCACCCCGAGTTGCAGCAGGTGCTGCGGGTGGACGGTAGTGGCAATACTGCTGGGGGTGCGCGGCAAGAGGAGGATGTGGGTGAGTCTGAAAGGGCATACGTGGCCACAGACAGGGATGGCAAGGGTGCAGCAGAGGAAGCTCTGCGTGCCGAGGTTCCTGTTGCCGAGGTCCGTTGGGCCTATGTGGATGAGTTATGGGAATGCGATGCGCATCCCATGCACGGGGTACGACCCTCGTCACATGCATCAATGCTACTTGTGCAAGCTTGGAGCATAGTAGGTGATAATACACACTTCATGGGAGATGGCGCCGATGATGAAGAGACCATCAGGGGTAAGCATATGCATCCGTATGCCTGAAGCCCATAGTGCATACCCCAGATCCTGCTGTACATGTTTTATACGAACCCCCTTTTCTTGATTGTGGGTAGGGCAAGGCGACCACACAGGCGCCACAGAAACAGACATCGATGCGGGGTCTGGTAGGGTGGCGGCCGAGGGAGACGAAAATACCAACTCCGAGGGTGCCGCTGGGGAAGTGACCACAAGGAGGTGGGGAAGGCGAGCACCACGTAGGCGGACTAGGCGTGGGACGGGTGGGGATGGCACAGGTGCTGGTGATGCAGGGCCAAGGGTGAAGGAGGTGACAGTGGCCGACCGGCTAGGTGTTCATTTCTACCATTGCATGATGCGCTGCAGTGCATCAGTCGAGGATGGTCACCCACGATCCCCCGAGGTACTTTCAGAGTAGATATGCTGCGCGGCTGATCATAGGGCTGGTGATCATTCACGCTGCCATAGGGTAGGCGAGCGTGCGCTGATGTGTGTATCATAGAATTGGGGTGTGGAGAGTGCTGTGTACTTAACCAATTCTCCGACCCACAAGGCAGGGCAGGATTGGTGCCAACTACACTTCAGTCCCGCCAAGGTCGCGTGCATTGTGGAGGGAGCAACCAGTTCAATGAACGAGTCGTTTCACTTGCTAATCATAAAGTATGCGCCTAAACACAATAGGTTCCAGGGGAGTTATGATCCGTGAGTAGCCCTGGCTGTCCTGCACTGGAACAATACCATGGACCGCATCGTCAGAGCGTACGTCACCAGGGTGCGGCATACAAAACTGGTGCGGCGGGGCCGGCAGGATCGGGTGCTTGGCCCAATGGAATGGGGATGGGGCGACAACATTTTGCAGGAATGGCGTCGTGCAACGGACGAATTCGGGGAAAAGGGTGTAGAGGGGGAGGACTCAGAAGAACCTGTGGTAGTAAGGGCTCGGACAGAGGCGGCATCCCGGTCAGGGGTGTTAGAGGAGATGCCGCCTCTGTCATTGGTGTGGAGAATCCGATAACTCTTGTGATCCCGCGGGCTACAAGGCGCATGACGTGTGAGACGCGCCCCGGGGTGCGACGCAGTCTAGCTGGTGAGTGGTTGCACGCTTGTGCCCATGTCGTTGCACGCATTTAATGAGGGGCAAGTGTGTGAGTATCGCTAGTGGGGATTGTTTCGCGTCATTCCTGTCTAACTACGACATGAGTGACTTGCAAAAAATGGAGCCCATACGTTCTTGATTTTCCATGCCCCTCACTACTCTTGCGGTTTACAAGGTGTCATGTCAAGCCTACCTCGCTGACCGTGAGCGCTTTCACACCCTGTACCCGGCGGGTGTGCAGTCGCATCTCAATTGGTGTGGGGGAGCAAAGACACCAGGGTGGCCTACGGTTACATGATCCCACAGCGGAATGTTGTGAGTCCCCAGCTTCTCTGTGGGCCCTCCGTATCCCATCTCTCTCCCCTCACATCAGTGCTCATCTCCGAATGCCCAAAATTTGCTCTTCTATTCTTGAGAACATTCCAATTCAAGGGTCCTCTTCTTGTGTCCTGCCCCTTTTACTTGCGTGTCCGCAGAACAAGGGCCACTCGTCCCTCTTCAACCCACCTCCTCCCCCCTCCCGCCTCCAACCCCCCCTCTTCCCTCCCGTCCCACTCTCTCTTCACCTCCCCCAAACAGTTGCGGGAACATGGGCATGGGAGCAGCAGTCAGAGGGGAGGGGGAGCATGGGAGGAAGCAAGTGCAGGTACCCGGGCCCGGACCCGGGTCAGGGGTGGTATGAGGAGGGAAGGTCAGGGGTGGTAGAGAAGGGAAGGTCAGGGGTGGAAGAGGAGGGAAGGTCAGGGGTGTTAGA